AGGTGTGCCTGGGATTGCCATGGGCCAAATGAAATGAAACCTTTGTCTTTTTCTGCTCAAATTCCAGAATGCCAGGACTAAGCTGTAGATTCTACCAGCACAAATTTCCAGAGGTGGAGGATGTCGTGATGGTGAACGTCCGGTCCATCGCTGAAATGGGAGCCTATGTCAGCCTGCTGGAGTACAACAACATTGAGGGCATGATCCTGCTCAGTGAGCTGTCCAGGAGGCGAATTCGCTCCATCAACAAACTCATCCGCATTGGCAGGAACGAATGTGTCGTGGTCATAAGAGTTGACAAAGAGAAAGGTATTTGGGAGTGCTGTGGGCTGTGTCAAGACTGAACTCAGAGAGAGAAATGCAGATGAACTCAGCGGGTTAGGTATTCATGGGTTTGCCAGAGCTTCTCTTTTTAAGCACTTCTTAAGCATTTAAGCAAAACAGACCATCATTGTGCCATCTGATATCTGTGATCGTTTTCTGTTCTCTGTGTTCTTTGGGAATTGGGTTAATGAAGGTAAACCACATCAGTAAAGATTTGCTTAAGTGGGTCCTCACCAGCTGAGTCAACAAACCACAGCCAAGTGGAATTTCCTTTTGATATCTATGTAGATTTTCTGAGTCTGAACTGAAGAGAAGGATCATTTGCTGTAGAGCTAAAAATTTAGATGTTAAGCATTTAGTGCTCACAGTCCTGTTCATTAGCAAGTCTCAACCCTTGTCAATTAAATAGATGCCAAGTATGTAATTATCCTGCCACTTGTATTCTGTAGGGTACAGGGTGAGATTGTACAGGCAACTTTGTCTTTTCCTGTCTTTTGAATGTTTGCATCTTTGAAGGTTTTTTAAAATATATTTTCTGTTTAGAACATGTCAGATTTTGAAACATTGTTCCATGCAGTCTCTAAAATCTATGTCCAGGTATAAAAAATAATGAACACTGAGCACATGTCCTGGAAATGTTATTGTTGTTAAGATGTTTCTCAAGGCTTTTCTAGAGTACTTATGAAACTGCAATTAACTCTGAGATGAAGTAATGAATGACAGGGTAAGAAGAAGCAGGGAGGAAAGACTGAGAAGAAGAAACTTATTTCAGATAGATCTGAAGTGAAATAAGTTTCCCAGCATCTCTGATGAATGAATACTTCCTTTTGCAAATCAATTTTGTTCTCATATTAACAGAGAAACACATCTGGAATTTGCCTTGTGGCCTTTCATTGACTCTTTTGGGGAACCATTAGTTTGAAAAGGTCTGCACCTATTCCTCACTAAGTTAGAAGAGATGGTTCGTAGGAATTTTTTTCACTTGCATTTCTCCCAGAAGGGTATCCAGGAAGTTAGAGTCAGAAATTCAGGCCACGACTGTTTTATTATGAAACCAATCAGAGCTAAACTGACAGAGTGCCAGCCTGGAATGAAATTGTGTTGACCACTTCAGCAGCATGCATTAAGCTTGTTCCTTTGTATGGTGGTGTGATTTATTTTTTTTTCCCAAACTATGTACAGCAACATAAAAATGGATCACAGATTGCTGAGATATTTATGAAAGTTTCTTCCAAGTTTGCAGAGAAAACATTAAGGTAGTAATTTAAAAGAATACTGTACAAAAGACTTGCTATTGTAAGTGTTTGTAGTTGAAAGAATAATTTTAGATCCTAATTTGGATCATAATTTGTTCAAATTCATTACAGTTTAGTCTTGTTACTTTCTGTAGCAGCATATAGGGATAATGTAGGCAAACCTTGAGCCAGAGTGTGTGTTCTTTCTTTGTGAGTTTCTCTTGAAACAGTTAGGCTTAGTTTGCGCAATGGCTGACACTTTCAAAATTGTCTTCCCCAATAGGTTATATTGACTTGTCAAAAAGAAGAGTTTCTCCAGAGGAGGCAATCAAATGTGAAGACAAGTTCACAAAATCAAAGACTGTAAGTTGCCTATCTCTATTCAGGCACTATGTGTTTCCAGCTTCTTTCTTGAGCAACCAAAATGCACAGACATAAGATATTATGAAAACAAAGTATTGTTTTCATGTATTAGATATACTCTGATTCTCTTTTACCCATGCAAAGATACATAACCAGTTCATCTACTCATGAGTGCTCTGGTAAGCTGCTTCTTAATTAATGAGTAGATCAAGAAAGATGTCAGTTAAAATTTGTGATGTAAAGGGGTATATTTAAATGACCAGAAATCCAAAAGCCTGTGCTGGTTAAGCACACTGTGGGCAATGTCTGATTGCAAAGGCATGCAGGCAGCTTCAGGCTCTCATTCTTACTACTGTGTGTGCTTGTGTTTCACAGAGAAGGCTTAACATTGAATACTGCTTTTGATTCTAATTTTTTTGTCTGTTTTCAGTCTGTCTTGGTTGTTTTAACACTCCTGTGTTCCAGGTTTACAGCATCCTTCGCCATGTTGCTGAAGTCTTGGAGTACACTAAGGATGAGCAGCTTGAGAGCCTGTTCCAGAGAACTGCCTGGGTGTTTGATGACAAGTACAAGAGACCAGGATATGGTGCTTATGATGCATTCAAGCATGCAGTCTCGTAAGGACATCTTTTGTACTTCTAGAGGCTGATTTCAAATTGTAGAGAAGTGTTTCCTGAAATGCATCCATCGTTTTGTTGGCTTTCTTTCCCAGTGTCAGCATGGAGAATGTACTGGTCAAGTAAACCTAGTAATGTTGGACATCAGTCTCCCAGTTGCTTATTGTAGGTTTCTCTGTCTTACTGCTTTCTTCAAGTTCTTGATGCTCTTGAGAAAGAAGGCTCAGAGGTGACTTTTTTTTATCCACCTTTGAGTCTGCCACTCTGTGTGTCAGGTGTTTAAAGGCACTAATTGAATTTGATGTGGAGAAATACCAAGGCATTGGTGAATACTTTTAAGTATAAAAGAAACATGATTACAAACACGGGAGGGATTTTGATTGCTACAGATCAGCCTGTGACATTTCTGACAGAGGAAGAAACGCTGATCTTGGTTTTTCTGTCAGAACTTAATCTGTTCTTAGTCCCGAGCAGATTTTATCAGAGATACCCAGCTCTGTGTCTGAAGACATTTCTATCCAGAGCTGATGGTAACTCGACTGCACAGGCAGTGTATTTCTTTTTCAAATGCAACACCCTGGCTTGCTATTTCTCTACACTTCCAAACTTAAGGAATGGGATCATGAACTTAGAAATGAGCAGAAAGAGATGGAAACTGTGATGCTAAGGGAATATGCACTGACACAGATTGCTTTTATTTTTTTAGTGAGTCTAATGCTTCAGTTTTATTTCAGAATTAGTCTGTTTGGCTTCCCTCTAAAGATTCTGTAGTCAAACTGGCAATCCAAAACCAGAGTTCCCAGTAAACATTTCCAATTTTACTTTGTGATCACACATAAACCTGAGTGGTGGACTTGGGTTGAGCTCTAGGTGGCAGCAAGAACAGTTTTAGAAATTGTGCCGACTTTAAGAAGCAAAGCACGTGGAGGCATTTTTAATTAGCTGAAAGCCATCCCTGTGCTTCTGGGGGAAGAGACAACTTGTATCCTCATTTAGACTAAATGTGATTTGTTTTGTATAATAATGACTGTTTTCTAATGACAGCAAATTTACTGGTAAAGGGCAAATCTGACCACTTTGCTGTGAAAGGAATTCCAGGTCACTCTAATGAATGCTTAGTTAAGCACCTGCATAAAAGAAGTTAAAAACCAAACCCGTAGTTAACACTGCCTGGTTTAGCTGCTGCTGAACTCAGGAAAATTCCTGAACACAGGCCTTTTGTTGCTCATTTGCTGTTCAGGTTGGAGCACAGACCTCAGAAGTTGTCTTTTCTCAAAACATCTCTCCAGCAGAAATGCCTTAAGATTTCTGGCAATAGACTGCAGCTTTTATTTGTTCCCATTGTGCTCCTACATGAACCTCTAGTAATGGAGCAGAAGGATGTGGATATTGCTGCATTCCTGTACGTGCAGAAGTGCTGCATTAAGTTGTGCATTCCCTCTAAGAATGACTTGCTGTTCCTTTCTTTGGGCTGAGGACTGGTGTTTTGAGATTTCACACAGCAGGATACCTGTGGCAAAAATTGGACAGTGTATTTACCTTCTGATTAGTAAAAGTTAAGCACTGGGCACCTGTTTATTGAATAGGTACCAAATGCTCCTGAAAGTGACACAAAGATTCAACAGGATAATTGGTAAATAAAGCAGAATTTGTTTGTCCCATAAATCACTACTGACATACAGGGTTGATGTTTTGATGTGTAAAACCTGTCATATTTCTGAGTTTTCTTTGCTTGTTTGGTCCTTCTGCTCTCTATAATCAGGATACAAAAACATGTAAGATGATGTTTTATTAGCAGCAGAGACCAATCTCCAGTATTGCCTCTGGTTTTTGGACCATTTTATTTCATGTTTGGCTCCTAGTAGTATTGTAGGTGATCTGGTATGTTTTTTTCAGAAAACTGCAACTCTTGTCTCTGAAGAACAGGAACAGTTTTTGTGAGGATTTTTTTGGTTAAATTCTCTGTTTTGGATATATTTGGGATAAATTTAATACAGCAATAGAAAATTTACAGCAATTCTTCAAACGAGCTGCTAATTTATATTGGTAAACAGCAGAAGTGTGTGTGTCTGTGTTCTCTGAATTTTAAATTATTAGCTTGCAATTTAACAAGCATTTATCCCTTCTTTAGCCAGGTATACAGTCAGCAGATAAGTGTCTGTCTGTGATCCAGTTACTGCTATAAAGGGGTACAGAATAACATGGAATGAATACAGGTTGCTTTGTAGAATGACAAAAAAACTTGTGTTTGATTGAAACGCCAAAATAATTCAAAAGCCTCAGATTCATCATGGGCTCTCTTTCATGCAATGTGTGTTTATCTTCATGTTGAAGGGAACATAAATGCCAATCAACGGGATACTTGTCTTGTTCTGTGTATCATACAGAAGTGGAGCTGGACAGGAGTCATTCCTTTACTTAAAAAACAAAAACATAATTCAGATGATTCTTTACATGACCAGATTGAATAATCTACTTACTTGCTTTGTTTGCCAATAGAAAATATTTTGAAAATAGATGTGTTTATTTTCTTCCAGTGTTTCAATGGGCTCTTAAGAAATTTCCCCATTTTCTTTGCCTAGTGTATGTCTGGGATTATGTGTAAGAATACAGAATTAGTACCAGAAGTTAATGTTGTGTTTCATTCCACTTCAGTATAACTCATGTAACGTTGCTTTGCCTGTTGCAGAGACCCTGCAATCCTGGATAGCCTGGACCTGACAGAGGAGGAGAGACGTGTGCTAATTGACAACATTAACAGGCGTCTGACACCACAGGCAGTCAAAATCCGAGCTGGTGAGTTCTGGCCAGGGGCTCATTGAACACTTCTTGACACTCGAGTCAAGTTATCTTGCTGCAAACTATGAAACTAAATGGTTCATATAAATATGTACATAAATCTAATGGTTCGTAATGCTGATATTTGAATGGAACTGCTCGGAACTAAGGCACCTTAATCAAGGATTGCTTTCAAAATGCCTGTGTGGGTTGTATCCCAGAGTGCAAGATGGTTTGGCTTTGATTTTGCCTCCTGAACTGCAGATGCCTTGGGATACAAAAGTGGTTGTCATGATCTATAATGCAGTCTGTCATATTGCATTGGCATACAGTGGATTTAAATATTTTATAGTTATTACTGCATCTACAGTATTCTCTTTCATTATTCAAAACTTTAAATCATTCTCTGACAGGAGGATTGATCTCTGTCAGCACAGCTACAGCATGGGTTGTAGCCACTTGTCCATAGACATGTAAAGACAGTATTTCTGACTGGTTGAGTGCAGATCATGCAGCAGGATGTATCAGCTCAAGCCTGGCACCTCTCTAGTGTGTTCACAAAGTACATGAGCTAGTTTTTTTCTTACTAATTCAGTGTGGGCAGAAAAAGCACATGGCTGCATTACCTAAGAAGACATACTCCAAAACTGTGAATCTGGCTGTGCAGCTACCCAAACAGCCTGAAGGCACACTTGCCTTTAAACAAATAGTCAGGGTAGCAGAGTCAGACTTTTAACTAAATTGAGAAGTTGGCTCTGCTCTGCACAGATATATTGAAGAGCATTAACACTTGTTGATTACTGGGAAGAGAAAAAATGGCTCATACCCACATGACACTGAAGTCAGCTGAAGTTACCTGGAAGTGAGACCAAGTTCTTTGTGTAGCTTAGTCTTGTACCATTGCTGCATAAGTAAAGAAATCTTTGTCTTTACACTGATCAGGGTATTGCAGATATGACCAGTGTTAGTTTATGCCTTAGTTTGCAAATGCCTACAAAAAGCTATAGCCAACTATCATCTTAACTAGATGTTAATATAACTTGCCTTATAAAAATAAATTCTAATGCTCCTCAGGTGATGCCTCTGTTGTAATTGCTGACAGAATTCCATAAATTTGTGGATGTATTCCTTTTCAAGTTTCACTTTTTCTGATCTTTCATTTTCTCTGGTATTTATTGCTTTTGTATCTTCACCTCTCTGTGTGAAATGTGTCATTACTCCTGTTGAATTTATTGGATGAGAGTGAGTGAATGTGGGTGTGTAATTTTGTATCTTGGCTTTTCAAAGCACAATGTAAAATGTTCTATTTCTAAAGAATTTGTGAAGACTTTTACCTCAACTTACAAGTCAACCAAGTATAATACCTTTCTGAGGCTCTCACTGTGAGTAAGCATTGGTTGCTAAAAAGATTTATTAAAGCTTGTCAGAAAGATTTAAAGATTCTACAACTTTCAGTAACCTTAGAGTTTCATTATTTGTATTTCTCTGTCGTAGATATCGAGGTGGCCTGTTATGGTTATGAAGGCATAGATGCAGTAAAAGAAGCATTGAGAGCAGGCTTGAACTGTTCCACAGAGAACATGCCCATTAAAGTAAGTGTCAGTCTTAGCAGTGGAATCCAAAGCAAAGTTGCGTGATGCCCTCAGGGACTAGGAGCAGGCAATGGCCCTTGTCACAGTCAGCTAGCTGGGGCTGGGAAGCTATGTGCTTGCTTTCCAGCTCTTCCCTAGGAGGTCTGTAACACACTTCCTTTCAGCTATGAGCTGACAGCTGTTCCTGTGACTGTGCTGTTGCTTCATTTATTCTGTACAGCTTATTAAAGTCCAGTGTTGGCACACTACATACCTTCTGTTCCTTTATGCAGCCTGTAGTAGGGAGCAGTAAATGTTATTTTCAGGGGTAAGAGTGTGTAAAAAAAAGGAAAGTTTGCTCCACTTACATTTGAGTGTTGGTGAAATGGCTACCCTACCCAGGCCTAGTTTAAATTTCCCAACAATTTTAGGGTATTAAGTGTATTGCTGAATAAGTGTTTTAAAAAGACCTGGAAGTGCTCAATTTGGAAAATGATTCTGTATAATACTTTCTTATAACAAAAGAAAAAATTAACTTATCCATTCATCACAAAAAAAGTACAAGTTGTAACACTTCTAATTGTTTTGTCTAAGTAGACATAATATCTTTGGCTTTGTTACTAAGATTGCTTTTACCCCCAATCCCTGCAATGTGACAGATTAATCTGATAGCCCCTCCTCGTTATGTGATGACTACTACAACACTGGAGAGAACTGAAGGACTGTCTGTTCTGAATCAAGCCATGGCTGTAATTAAAGAAAAAATTGAGGAGAAGAGAGGAGTCTTTAATGTACAGATGGAGGTAAGAACAATTTACATTCTAAGTTGTTTTTCCCATTGCAGTATTTCTGAGATAGAGCAGGGTCAGTGGCACCTCAAGATATTTTAGCAAAAAGATATTATAAAAAAAAAAACCAACCCTGAACTTCTGTGTTCCTTAAATAAACAAATAGCAATAAATTCTGATTTTCCTGGGTTTTATTGTGTGGCTTCAGGATGTATTTTATCTCATGCTCTTTATGTTGAATTAGACTGTATGACTCTTTACCATGTGTTCTGGTTTGTTCTTTTCCAGCCTAAGGTGGTTACTGACACAGATGAGACTGAGCTTGCAAGGCAGTTGGAAAGACTGGAGAGGGAAAATGCTGAAGTGGATGGGGATGATGATGCTGAGGAAATGGAAGCCAAAACTGAAGACTAAATGTTTTGGGATACTTAGAAGAGAGACCATATGGAAAATTAGAAACCCCCATTGCAAACACTCTGGACTAGATGTTTCCAGTATTGAAAACTTCAAATGCAAATCCTCAAAGTGTTTTGCTGTTTTAAAAAGACCAAAATGTTAAAGGCTCTTCTAAATAACATTTGATGCAGCAACTTACACAAATAGAATCCTTTGAAAGGAAGGTGCCTAGTCAAACTCAAGACACAGATCTGGTCAGAAGGAGCTTGCAGCCCTTTGCTTAACACTTTCATACATAACAATTCCTAATGGGTGATTACAGCTCAGTGCATCTATTAATGTTCTTTCCTGGGAGCAACAAAACAAAGGAAGCAGAGCAATTCCATACAGAATGTATTTGAGAAAACACTCAATAAATTTCTGGGCTATGTATCTCCCAGGTGGTTTTTTTTCTCCTTTTTTGTCACATAGCCTAGAGTAGTATGGAAATAAAACCTGGAACAGTATGGTCAATGGGTGATTCCCCTTTAACATTGAAAGGGCTTTCCTTTGCTTGCTTTAAATTGAACCAAGAATGAGTGGAACAAAATGTTTTTCTTGCAAGTTTGTTGATCCAGACTTGATTAAATGAGGATTTCCTTTGTTTGTCATGTGCATTTAGGAACTGAGAACTTGAAAACTTTGAAAATAGCTGCTTACCATTCCAATCAACATAGCTGATAAATCAAAAATTACATATAGTTGTACTTTGCTCCTATAGGTGAATATGGCAGGAGCTTTAGTGAACTTACTGATACTTCAAGTGGGCAGCGCTGTCTTGTGAGCTCACTGCTGCATGAGCTGTTCACTCTTGAAACAATCTGTTTATTTTCTCTGAAGAAGAGAAACAAGACATGCTTTCTAAACAGGAGTTTAAGAAACAGTTTTTTAAAATCTTGATTTCCTTGTCAGTGGGAATTTAGCAGGAAGAGTTGGGCTTGTTTAGGTGACCTTTCCAAATTGCTAGGTTTTTTAAATGTATTTATATCTGTTTTCGTTGCCACGTCTCATATTGTTCTGCAGAGGGACCTGGATAGGCTG